TTCCTTAGCAGATAATAAATTTTGATGAGAAGTGCTGCAGTTACGCCTTTCCCTGACCGGGGCCGCTGTGGTGTCAGGACAGAGAGCAGACGATCCCAGTTGGGAGCAGCCTGAGCTGTAAATAGGGAAGAGAAAAGTCTGCGTTCCTCACAGAGCTCTGCTCATGGGGCCAGGTCAAGAGGCAAGGGATACGTGGGGCTACTGGGGGGGCGCAGGCGAATGGGAGTGAGGGTGCAGGGACACAATGGGGCCGGGGGAGGAGGTGGCTGAGTGAGGGTGCAGGGCCACATGAGGATTGGGGAAGGGGCTGGCTAAGTGGGGGAGACACATGGGGACAGTGGCAGATGTGCCTACCTCAGAGAGGCTAGGGGTCAGCATGGGGAAGGCACCCTAACAATCGATCCCCTCATTCCCCCCGCTCAAAAAAAACCCAAAAAACGAAACGTTCCATACTTCTACCACCCATACATAACAACCCTCCAAGTTCACACCCAGGCTCCTTCCCAGCAATTACTTCCCTCCCCCTCAGCTCCTCCATTACCCCAGACTCCCCCAAGCCTTTGTACTGCTTCTGAGGGGTGCAGGAAATACGTTTCTGTATTGTAGTCTAAAGAATTATTACTCAAAGTTCTTTATTAATATGTCTAGTAAGGAATCTATTTGTCAAAAAACGTTTCCTGAATCTTTTTTGTTGTCTGTATTGCTACAGACAAACTTGCTGATGGGTATTTTGAAATAAATTTTCAAAATAATTGAAACTGGCATGTTTATTTTGACTAATAAAATATGCAGAATTTTAAAATATTGTGCGCAGAATTTTTAATTTTTTTGGCACAGAATTCTCCGAGCAGTAACCTACTACTGCTATAAATTACTCCTTTTGCTCAAGAGGCAGAAGTCTGTGCTGTGGAGCTAAAGGTCCCAACCCTGCTGATGACCCACATGACTGAATTTGTTCTTTCAGTTCGTTTTTTTAAAAACCTTGGAAATTTCATATAAAACACTAAATTAAGGTTGCTAAGTCAAGCACTCAAAAGTTAGGAAATGCCAGAATTAAGACTGCCCATGAATATAAAGTGCTTCTAATTTGCCCCCACTCCCACACTTATGCATGATAGTCTTTAATTACATGATAACATGCTATTTTTTTCTTCCCCCACAGGACCCCTGCCTCATTCAGTATACAGGATGAACCAGGGCTGTGTAGTGAAGGAGCCTTGACTGTGGGACCCCTGCTTCATTTGTCCTGAAAGTTGGAAGGTACATAGAGAATGACAAGGGATTGCAGGAAGAGAAAGGATGGTCTCCTTGTTAGGGCAGTTGAATGCTGCCCTAGAGAATGTTATTCTACCACTGACTTTGCCAGGTTTCAGAGTAGCAGCTGTGTTAGTCTGTATCTGCAAAAAGAACAGGACGACTTGTGGCACCTTAGAGACTAACAAATTTATTAGAGCATAAGCTTTCGTGGACTACAGCTCACTTCTTCGGATGCATATAGAGTGGAATATATATTGAGGAGATATATATATACACACACATACAGAGAGCATGAACAGGTAGGAGTTGTCTTACCAACTCTGAGAGGCCAATTAAGTAATAGAAAAAAACAAACTTTTCACTAGTGGGCACTAATTGCATGTTTCGCACTTTCTCAATGTTTGAGTTGACACCCCAGAATCTAACGGCAGAAGTTTTGAGCACTTGGACACAATTGAAGTTGGTGGGACTGTGCTTTGAACATAACATGCAAGATGCTGGGAAAAAAAAAAAAAATCAGATTCTAGGTGCCTCAAATTGGGCGTCCAAAATTAGTGGATACTTTTGACCTTAATCTCACTGTGCCTCAGTTCTCCATCTGTAAATGGCGATAATTATACAGCCTCATCTCAGAGGGGTGTTGTGAAAAACTCCTTACTCTTTATGAAGCACTCAGCTATGACAGTGATGAGGGTCAAAAAAGTCTGAGGAAATTAATATTTCTGTCTTCAGAGAAAGGTTTGAATAGCACGCAGTGAATAAGGGCTAGGGCCACACATTGAACAATGAGGAGAAAAAAAATATTGATTATCTACTCATTAAGTCTGAACTGTCCATCCTATGCACTGAACGAGGCAGGGGTCTTGTGAGAAAAAATAGTATGCCATAATGTAATTAAAGAATGTATCACAATGCATATGCACATGGTGACCAGATTTCAGTTGTACAGGCAACCTTAATTCTGGCATTTCCTAACTTTTAAGTGCTTGACTTTGCAACTTTACTAATATTCTTTTAATCAATGTACTTTTTTGGGGGGTGTAATAGATATAATTTGGCAAATCATTCCATTCAGTATCTGAACACATACCCAGCATGTGACTACATGATGCGCTACTAAGATTTTCTGGAACCTCAATTAAAGAGAATTCTCTACTTAAGACACAGGTTAGTATTCCAATAGTCATCTGTTCTTTTTCCAAAAGAGATGCCCCATCCTCCCATTCTTTCACAAGTCTTTTTTAAAACTGGAGTCTTTTTTAAATTACATTTCCTTCCAGGTTGTTTTAGTAATAGCCTCATTCAACTGTGATTATTCTAAAACTAATCTCCCTTCCTCACTCGACTAGTTAGTTAAATAAATTTTGATTCCAACAAGACTGTGAGAGTTAATGGATTCTCTGAACGAAAAACAGAAACCAAGTGTAGCAGGGATTCTAGTGCCCAGATGATCATCTCATTACACGTTTTGCTAACCCTTGAGATGGAGGAGGTGGTTTGGTAAGAAAGTTCTCTCAAGTGCCCCCATCCCTATTTGTGCCTTCCTGAATGCATTTTAAGAAGAGGGGAGGGAACTAGTGCTTCCTTAGGCCAGAAAAAACTAGATTAGATTAAATTAGATTAGATTAGATAGATAGAGAAAGAAAAAGATGTTCAAGGCAATATGGAGTAAGTAAACAACAAAGCCCAAAATGGACTGAACAAAAACAAAAAAATGCTGGGGCCTAAATAATTTTTTTATATGTATATATGTATGTATGTGCTACATAGGACGATTCATAATACATATACACAAATATTCATACATGCATACATATATTATCTCGTACATTTATTTGTGTAAACCAGACACCAAGCAAGCAAAAACCTGATAATCAAATATTAAAATATAAACATCCTTGTAAACCAGGACAGACAGCAGATCCAGGAGGGCAGTAACAAGTTTCCTCCACTTAGAGTGCCACAATACCATTTCTAAAAGCATTCACCTTCCAGACACCAGTGATGAGATTTTCAAGAGTGCTGAGTGTTAAGAGACAAACTCCCACCGACTTAAACTGAGAGCCGAGGTAGGTCAACACAGTTCAAAGCATAATCCTATCTCACCCACTTCCACAATATACCTTACTTCCACTTATCCAGGGAACAAGAGACTTTCGATCAGTTCTGCTTCTCCCATATGAAAACTCAAGAGTTCTGTGCAAAGGATTTTAAACTATGTAAAATGCTGCAAAGTGAATCTGTAGCCAGATGGCCAAAGAATCTATATTTGAATACTGAATACCTATTTGTGGTGGAAAGAAAGGAATGCTGATACTGCTTACAAAAAAATCGGAGCTATTTGAAACAGGACACTCATGTAACATTTTGGGGAAGTTAGTGATGTCACTGGCACAGATGACAAACAGCCACTCACAAGTTGCCTGAAGGGTGGACTGGCAGAACAAAGGAATAAAATAAATTACTAATGAACAGATAGCATGCAATATAATAACCATAATAGATCTTGCACTTCACTGTATATCTTAGCAATGTTTGGAAGGAGTCTACCAAAGAGTATAACTCCTCGCAAACATCTGGAAAAAGACATCTTTCAAGAAATTATTCTTATATGAAAATAATTGTTGGAAGCCTTTTCACACACAAAGTACTTGCACTGATTAGTTTTGTTTTGCAGCATCGGATTGAATGTTGACATGATGACTGGCCAAAATATGAACTACTGATAATCATGTCACTACTAGTCAAATACAACTAATCATCACGCAATAAAATGCTTGTAACATGGAACTGGCAGTGTACTTTTAGCCTTATCAGTGACAAAATAGTTTGCAGAAACATTAGTCAGGGTTTGCTTTACCACATTTGGAGCCAAATCATGCAGACTCTACTGTGAGAAGACCCAATCAAAACTTGAAAAATGTACCTAAGCTTAATTCCCTGTCTGGAGTGGCTTGTTAACCAGGTGAAAGATACCCATAGTGCCATAGCTCATGCCCCCACAGCCATATCCATATTGCCTTTCCCCATGCCCCCACGGCCGCATCCGTTGCAATTTAAAGAAATAAAACAGTTATTCCATCTATTAAGCACTGTAATTGTATTTTGAGGATTATTGATTGAAGAGTGCTTGGTTGTTTCCGTATTCAAAAGAGTATTAATAACTGATATTCTTAGTTAAATATTTTTTCTTATGATAGTGATATTGTGCAATAGAAGGAAACTGTTAAATGCTTACAGTTTCCAGTCCATTTTTACATTATTTAAAAAAATATATATTAGCTTACAAGGCAGCTGTGGGGGTGGGGCGGGACTTGGACCCATTCTGGGCACCAACAAAAATTATACAAACCTGCCGCTTCTGAGCGAATATAGTGTTTACAGGAATGAGGGGTTAACAGCAATGACCTGAAACAGGCATGGTGAAGGCAGTTAGCATGAGGCCATCCCCCACATACTTTTGGTCAACATACCTCATGCCTAACATTTCTTACTGCTCAATTTCTATTGACCCAGAAACTAAATTGTGTCAGTCTGTTGTGATTAAATGAGCAGTGGGAACCTTAAATCAATTAAGGCATTTGGATACCTTTTCTATCTTCGTTTGACTTCACGAGTTGTAACGCTAGCAACAGTTTACTGAATAAAATGTTCTTCTAAACCTTTCCTAACAAAAGATGCAATTGTTATCATTCCTCAAGTATGATTTTAATGCAACCACAGGCCTTCACCTGAGATCTCACCTGTTTTGTTGACTTTTTAGTTCCATTAAAGATCTTCCAAGCAAGCCCACTGCCACCACTGGCAATATGTCGTCCAACATCAAATTCCCTGGTAACAGGATTTCCCATGACCGCACTGGTGACATCAGCTGTTACCTTTGTAACGGTACTTTTCAACTTATTCAGCATGGACTCCATTGTCCCAACTATATGCTATCACGTTAGCCTACAAATGTGAAGGGGGAAAAAAAAAAATCACAATTCTTTCCATTTCTGTTAATGGAAGGTACTGAAAATGGTTAGTTTACATTAGTTCATATTATTAAAAATACAGAACACAAAGCCAGCTATGGGAAATCTATATTTTAAAATGGAAGAGTAAAGTTTTATTTTTTTCTTAAAAGAGAAAACCTGCCTAAGATCTCAAATCATCAACAGTATAAAAGTATATTTACACTGAAGACATTTTAAAAAATGAGTTCTCGCTCTCTTACTGTACCTGCCAAAACCCACGCTCAAAATTCAGTGTTTTACCTGAAACAACTGCTGTTATTAACACTTTCTGTTCTGATGTGTTAATGAGTTCATCAGCTGCTGCAGGGAAAGTGGAGAAACTGCTTTTTCTATGCTTTGCTTTAGAATTAGTGCTTCTGCATGGTTATTCAATTTAAGAGATGCAAGAGTCTGGTTTCCAATAAATTTCATTTTCACCTGTACTATATATTACTGTACTATAATTTCCTCGCTTAACTGAGGTAGTTAATTACAAACAACTGCTGCCAGAGACGCCAAGAAAACACTAACGTCCAGCAACTCAAACCATTAATACGAATATCTTTTTGCGGGTGGGTGTGCTATTGGAGGAATAGGACAAGAAACTTATCCTGAAACAGGGAGAGAGACATACACACATCTTGTTCCCTACCTGCAGTAAGAAATTAGATAAAGATGGAACACAAGGAGAAATTAATTGCTAGTAACACTTATCATACATAGAAAACCCAAAAACAAACTCTAAATTAAGACAGCCTCCAACTTCATCTCAAAGAGAGGGTATGGAGGAATATTCATTTCTCCACCAGACAAAAGTAAAACAAACTTGAAAAATAGTGCACCAGGGAATATTTAAGTGTGCGCAAACATATTGTTTAAATTTATAGCCTTATTGGTCACGTACCTAGGTCACCACAATATTATTCTTACAATAACTAAGTCATCACCTTCTGGCCAACTAGCCTCATGAGGTGGTTTAGTATATTTAGTTCCTACCATCTTTTTTGACATTTTAGACATATTTACATGGATTCGGAGTATCATTTCACCCACCACTCTAAAGAGTACCACTGTGTTTTCCAAACGGAAGAGAGGATGTTTTGGGGGTCATACAGCAGATGTTTTCAAAATTATGGAAAACAAGTGATAGAAATAAGCGAGGGACACAATATCTAAGAATGAGGTAACGAGGATTAAATTGAAAAATTTTAGCTGTTTCATGCAAGTTACAAGTAAGTTGAAGTAATTTGTTTTCAGAGGTTAGAATTGTGAGTGAGGGTACTGTGGGAAAAAAAACAAAAACAAACAAACAAACAAACAAACAAACCCACACACACCTGGGTGACAATAATCCCTAAATTTATACTTCTTAAAAATTTATTGTTAAATATATTTATTGTTAAAATATATTGTTATATTTGTAATCCCTTTCAGTTTTTTAATTTCTGCTGAATACTTCACCTCACTTGTGCTGGTTGGAAAAAACATGTTGTAGAAAGGAAGGGCGCTGCCTACTTAGGTTCCATTCCTATAAACATTTAGCTTTAAGCTCATGAGTATCGCCTATGGCTTCAATGGGACTATCCACATGCATGAAGTTAGGCATGTGTGTAAGCATTTGCAGGACCGGGGCATTAATTATTTAGGTATGAAGAATTAAGTATTGGTAAATACATTTCATCTGAAGCAACTGAACTTCATGATATGGAACCATGCCAATGAAGCAGAAATTTCCTGTTCAACCAGCTACTGAACAGGAATAGAGAGACCAAGGAATGAGGTAGAGAATTATTTCAGAGTAATTATGTATTAAACTGTCGAGTATTCATGCTCTGTTGGAGGGGTTAGTGAAAATAAGCTAGAGAAATTTACTTATTATAAAAATATATATACTTTGTGTATTGAGTTATGGTAATTATACAATTTGTACAAATTATACAAATTGTAGTTGTGTCAGCCAAGATAAAGACTGATTTATTATATCTAAACTCCCCAACCTACGGAAAAGCAGTTGCCGACCTGATAAGTACGGAAAAACACCATGCCTCATAGATCATAGGACAGCCTGAAATAAAGAGATGCTGGTATCTGTAGTCCTTCAGGACCTTATTCTATAGCCATTCTGCATGGGTGCTCCACATGGAAAAGGACCACAGAATCAGGCCCCAAGCAGATACCAAGATAAAAATATATAGTACTGGATTTGATTTCCTGATATTGCTTTTTCTGTAACTGAAGATTTCATTCAGATAGGCAGAAACAATATATTCCAGTTTAATCCCTTCTAAGTGTCTCCACTTCTGAAATGCCTCTTCAAGTAAATTTGGGCCCAAACATGCAAGGTGCTGAGCACACTCTAGCCCCGCTGGGATCAACAGGGTGGCAGTGCTCACTACCCCACAGAACTTGACCCTTTACTAGTACAGCAATATCATAAGAGCTATACTGGTAACTTTTTAGCTGCACCCTGTTGGATTCTCACTGTGGAAGGACAGCATATAGGACTCCATATTTACTGGTATTGGCTCAAAAGCAGAGAAACTGTATCTCCCAAGGATGTGCAACACAGAATCTCAGGGTACAGAATGGGCAGAGGGGGCAAAGGACTAAGGTAAAACAAGTCTGTGACACTGGGATTAAATATTAAACAAATACTTATGTGTTATCTCAAGCTTGTTAAAACTAGAATAATTTAGGTCTAGTTTACTTTTTGCCATTTATATTACTTACTTTTGTATTTCATTCAGCATGGACAATGAAACTAGAACAGTCAGTTTCTTTTTCTGGTATTAACCCACTAGCACAGGGTCTTTGTGTTTGAAGTCACAACATGGGAGGGGCATTTTTTAAAAACCTGACTACACTGGAAGTATGAAGTAAACAAGTTCCTGTTCATATTCCCTTTTACATGTTCAAATTCCTTATCTGTGCTTAAGTTTGGAGAAGAGTCTCTCTGTTGAGAGGTGGAAGAATGAATGAAATTGCTTTCAATTAAACTGGAGGAAGCATTCTCTGCTAGAGGTGGCAGTTCCATGTGGTAATTGTATTGAAAAGATTGGAGAAGGCCGTAAGGGAGGATACTAACAAAAAATTATTAAAAAAAAGAGTGAGGATTTACAAACAGGCCTGGTATGCACAATCAAATCTGCTCCTTCCCAACTTGGCACTGAACAAAGTTAAACCATTGACTAAGTCAGCAGAGAAAAGAGATAGTGAGCCAATTTTCTCTCTCAGCATGCAGATTGTTTTCATAAATTAATGTTTCTTAATACTGCTGGTATATTTTTATAAATCCTTGTGTAGACAATCTGACAAATCTAAAATGGGTTTTGTTCTATAAAAATAGTTTATTACCAATTTCAATTACACCATATTAAATGTCAGTTGAAATAATATATCTAGAGAGAGAATCCACATGGAGCAAGTACATAAGAGATTTTAACTTGGGGAGTGACAATTTCAGTAACACAAATTACAGTCAAAACAGTGGTATATAAAATATGAAAGTTATCAGCTTCTTCAGCAGTATTTTCAAGACTAAAATTGAGCTACTATACATAGAAAAAGTAACAATCACAAGACAATGACGTAATAAAGTCAAGCATCCACAAGGCATAAAGCATTTTACACTTTTAAAATTAAAGTGTAGAAGATACAAAAAGCAAGAAAACTCCAGTATCTTAGTAACTGTAATACTCAAGGGAACAAGGAGTGGGAGCTCTAGAAATATTTAAGATAGAACTTTTCTTCTTCCTGTTTGACATTTGAGTACAATATCCATACAAAAACAGGCCCCCGATCCTATAAATTGGTGGGTGTGGGGGAGCCCTTATGCTTGCATGGAAGCCCATTGCAGTCAACAGGGGCTCCGTGCTGGTGTTTGCCTAACAGATCACCTTGCAGAACTGGACCTTTACAATTTTGCTAAGGCAACATGTGAATAAGTGGCACAAGATAGGGGAACATTAAGAATACTGAAAATAAGAATAAACCCAAAACAAATAAGCCACCAACTCCTCCTCAGTTTTCATTTGAGTAATCACTTTGAGCTAGTTTATTCTCTTTTCTATTATGGTAATGTAGGGGGGTGTTGCGTGAAACCAATGCCACCCATCCCCCATGGCTGTATCAGTGCTCTATCTGGTTTGTGACCCCCCAGGGCAAGGTGGATACTCCACTTGTGAGCAAGGGGGAAGAGCACTGAAAGACCTATCTCCACCCTATCATAAGTGCCATTCCACAGAGCTGGCTAGATACACACAGTGGTGCACCCTACAAAAAGTAGATTACTCCCCCACCAGCTCAACAGTGGAGCACAGGAGAAACTGGGCCTCAGTGAGGTATTTTTGATACCCAGTGGTTCCCAGTATTCTCCTTACAATCAAGCTTTCCTTTACTTGTAAAAACAATTCAAAGCACATTTTCGAAACGTATAAATATTATGGATCATGTAAAGTACCAATGATAACAGGGCAAAACACATCCTGATTTCATCATGAGTTCTGCACCAGAGGGCAAGGCTGAAAACCCCAAACCTTGCAAGCTACCAAGTAGACAGACAACAGACCAAGTTATTTATTATAGGCTCCCAGCAGGGGGTTGGGAGAAAGCGGGGACAACCTGAACTGTCACACGAGCCACATGGGCACAAGAGCCCTTCGGGTGTTGAGAGGGAATAAATTACCCCCTTTAACGGGTCACGTGCTCTTCGCCGCCGTGTCCTGCCAACAAAGCCACGTATCGCTGTCCGCAGGGAGCGTCCCCCCAGGGAGCTCCTGTCAGTCACCACCTCGCCTGCACCCCCCAAGTCCTCCGGCCCCGCGGGGAGAGGCACAGCGAAGGGCAGCTCAGCACCCCCCGCTCCGCCCCCGGGGCCACAGGTTTAGAGTGAGTGACTAGCCACCCGGCCCGGCGCTCTGGCCCTGCACAAAACACGGCCCGGCTGCCGGCCCTGCCCGGGAGCGGCTCCTGGGCGAGCGGGTCCCCGGTGTCGCTAGGCCAGAGGCAGCCGCTGCCCCCCCTCACCTGCGCCTAAGGGAAGCTGCGGGGGCCTTGTCCCGCCGTGTGTCCGTCCGCGTCGCGCTCTCCAGCCGCGGCTCAGCCCCGTCCCCCCTGCGGCTACTCCATGGCGACCGAACCAGCGCCCGGGCCACCAGCCCCCCCGCCCTGCCTCACTTCCGCCACGGGGCCAGGTTGGGGCCGGAAGTGACGGTGTGGGAGGCGGGACAGGAAGGTGGCTGGCGATGGCGGCGCATTTGACTCCGCGGTTCAGGAGGGTTCACAGCCAGAGCGAGCTGGGCGCGCGGCGGCGGGGCGGAGGTGAGTGTGCTCCGGCCTGGGGCTGGCCGGCTTTCCGCGCCGCCTGAGGGGAGCCCCACAGAGCCCCCCCAGTGCCAGGGCCTGGGGCGGGTGTTGTGTGTCCCGGGCCGGGGCTCCCCCTGCGAACGGGCCCCGCCCCGCAGCGGGCGGTTTAAACCCGGCTGGGTTTTGCTGTTATCGCCCAGCTCCGGGTCGCGTCCCCGACTAGGGTTGCCAACGTTCTAGCTCCCAACCGAACATCCCAGCCCCGCCCCTTCCCCGAGACCTCGCCCACTACATTCCCCCTCCCCCGGTGCTCGCTCTTCCCCACTCTCACTGGGCTGGGGCAGGGGGTACTGACTGGGGGGTGGGGCCAGGGATGAGGGTGGGGGTTGGGGTGCAGAAGGGGGCTCTGGGTTTGGGGGTGTTCAGGGCTGTAGCATGGGCTTACCTCAGGTGGCTCCCAGTCAGTGGTGCAGCGGAGGGGCTAAGGTGGGCTGCCTGCCTGTCCTGGCACCACACTGTGCACAAGAAGTAGCCAGCAGGTCTGGGTCCTGGGCTGGGGATCAGGAGACTCCATGCATTGCTCTCACCTGCAGGTACCAGCTCCCATTGGCCAGGAACCTCCTGACCAATGGGAGGCAGAACCAGAGCTTGGGGCGGGGGCAGCATGCAGAGCCCCATGGTCCCCCTCCTTAGGAGGCGGACCTGCTGGCCGCTTCTGGGGCGCAGCATGGAGCCAGGACAAGTAAAGACTAGCCTGCCTTAGCGCCACAGTACCGCCGACCGGACTTTTAACAGCCTGGTCAGCAGTGCTGACCCGAGCCGCCAGGGTTCCCTTTCAACTGGGTGTTCCAGTCGAAAACCAGCCACCTGGTCACCCTATCCCCGGCTCACCGTCTGAGATCCTGGACAGCAGAGCCTGCCGGGGACGGGGCGGCACCTTTGGGTGTGCATGTGGGGGCGTCTGAGCACTGCTCAGGAAAAAGTGCAGGGAGATTCTGTGAATCCTGGTCTTGGTCAGGCCTTTTGGTCTCACTGGGATAAGGAGAGACTCTCAGCAATGGGGTGGGGGAGGAAGGAGGTGAAGGCCGTGTCTTTGGAACTGCCCTCCTGGGGCAAGGGTATTAGAACTAGGGATGCTGGAGGTGCGGCAGCACTCCCTGGTTTGAAGTGGTAATAACAACCAAATACATGGTTTCCGCCTTCCGCCTTCAGCACCCCTGTCCTGGGGGAAATGTACCCCTTTCTGAGCTCCCTTTGTAATGCTGGGTGCAGCTGCCTGCTCTTGCAATGTCAGTACCTATACTGGTATTTTGATACTGTCATAGTAGGTGCTGGAACTAGGGGTGCTACTGCACCCCTGGTTTGAAGTGGTTTTCATCATATACAGGGTTTACAGTTTGTTTAAATGGCTCTCAGCACCCCCACTATAAAAATTGTTCCAGAACCCCTGGATACTGTAGGGTATAAAGGGGTAAGATAGTTTAAGAAGAAAAATATTTTTGTAGGCCATATAAGGTGGCTCTGTTAGCAGTTGTGGGAAGGTCTTGGAAGAGTTCATTGCTAATATATGCCTAACCAAGTTGGAGCCAACCAACATGTGTCGAAGCATCCATGGATTTAGTTCTTTCTTGAGTATCTTGATCAAATACTTACGAATGTTTGTTAATGTTTGAATGTAGTAATTGCTTATGATTTAGGCTTTTACACATTTAGAGCAATTGTATAACTCCCCTTGGGCTTTTAGATTTAATAAAGGAATTTATGGTTAAATTAGTATCTGATGGTGCACTGTCTTACTTTTATCTAGAATAATAATTCCAGCAGATACATTGAGATTGTTTGGGTAAAATGAAAAGAAACTGATTTTTTTTATTTAGCATGTTCTTGTTTTCCTTTCCTGGCGTAAGCTTGCCTGTGTATGACTTAGCGTCAAATCACTGCAGGAATTAGTTTGCTATTTTGTTACCACTTACCTCTGGCTGTGCTTTGAAAAGTTAAATTTCACTTCTGGAGAACGCAGCCAACGCACTTTCAATTTTGAAAAGGAAAATGTAAAAATAATACACTTAAATGTTGCAGTAAGTGTTTACAGTATGCAAACATAAATAATGTTTTAGTAACATGAATGCTTAAATATTTTTGCAGGAAGCAGTGGTCCTTTTCAAGCAACTCGGTTATGGAATGGTATTATTCATGCTCTTCAAAGCCAGGTGGAAATAAAAAGAAGACGACAACATCTAAGGACGTACAGAAACTGCTTTACTGGCTCCAATGCTGTTGATGTGGTGCTGAGCTATCTTATGCACAGTATGTACCTAAATAGTAATGATCTTTCTCGACTGAAGGGAGTCCGTCTCTGCCAGGCTCTGATGGATCACAAGGTTTTTGAACCAGTTGGACCAAAACTATTCAAGAATGAGAGAGAGCTAGAGTTTGAAGACACAAGTAATAGTCTTTATAGATTTCTGGACAGCCATCTTTCTCCTCTTTTACTGAAACAGAAAGGATATATTGAGAAGTTGTCCCCTGAGGAAATACTTGAACTTAAGACGAAAAAACCTCCACGGTTAGTAATGCAGATGTACACATTTAAACAGTCTTTAAAATGTGGGCCTAATAAATACAACAGAAATGCCATCTTACACAATCACGAATGAGAAGAGGTGCTCCATGAGACACTCTGTTTAGATGTCATCCATGCTATGAAAAAATCTGAGACGCAATTCAAAGGCAAGATATTAATTATGGAAGAATAAAAAACATTTCTTGATTGTTACCTTGTGAAAATACTAGGTGACTAAAATATTTACATTAGGACTAGAAAGACCCACTTGTTCAGACCCAGATTGGCGGAGCTGTGATTTTTAGGGACCTAAAAATATAAATACGAATTCCAATTTTTATTTTTAATTATGTTTTTAGTGCTTTGTCTTCCAAAGAGATCCTTGAATGTGAATACACCAATTGCTAGTGCCAAACATTCTCTGATGCTTTTTTGTTTCCTAATAAATTATTAACAATCTCCTCTATAGCCACCCTTGCAATAGACCTTTGAGACCTGTGAAACGTGCTGCGACAAGTTCTTTGACACTGGGGAAACACCACACTTAATTCACAATGATACCACTGAGGATTTTACTGTAATACCAGTCACTTCAAGCTCCCACCCTGCTGACTGCCTACTTCAATCTTTTCTTCTGAGCAGCCAATATGCCTTCTGGTATTGGGGCAGTTCAGTAATGCAGAAGGGAGTTGGGGTAGTTGGCTAAGCATGTGACCTGGACTCTTGTGTTCTGACACAGGCTCTAACACTGACCTCTGGCTTTAGTCAAATTACAGCCTCTCTTCCTCAGTTTCCGCACTTGAAATGTTAGTTGTTAATGTTCACAATGTGTTGTGATTATTTATATTTATAAAGCATTATGTAGGCAGTAATATTCACCAGGATTCTCCTGCAGCCCCGAGACTCCCATCCCATATACAAAATAATCCCTTGGAAGTGTTTAAAAAAAATAAAAAGTTCACACTGATGCATAGGCTCCAGCACAAGCAGTTGGACTCCTCCCTCTCTTCCAGCAGCCACAAGAGAGCATGGAAAGGGAGTCAGCTTAACTATCCAGAGGCTAATAAAAATGCCCACAAGCAGGATTCAAAGTAGAGCTTGTCAGGAACTTCTTCATCAAGTGTTTTTCATTCAAAAATGCTGAATGGTCAAAACCCAAACTCTTTGCAGAAATGTATTAGTTTTGACTAATTTTCACTAGGAAAGTATTTCAGGTCCAGGGCGGAATGTCTAGAGAGAGACCTAAGAATAGCCAGTAGTCCAGTGGTTAGGGTACAAGCAGGTACAGGTCCCTATTCTGCCTGAGTCAGACAGGGACTTGACCCTGTGTCTCCCACATTCTAGGGGAGTACCCTAACACTATGGCTATGCTGGGTTGGATTTCTGTGTGTCTGATTTTTTTTACCAGAAATTCTATCCTGGAGAAAAAGTTTTGTCAGAACCAATAGAGGAGTTTTAAAAGGGGTGTACTGACTGATTTGGCACAGGGATTTGAACTTTAGTCTCCTGCATTTCAAGTTAGTATCCTAACTGAGCTATTCGCTATTCTGAAGGTAGGGGCAGGGGTATGTCTGCACATGTGTTTCATAAAGCTCTCATTGTTTCATAAAAAAACTTGGAAAGGCCTTGGTTTCAGTCTGCATCAGAACAGAAGCAAATGTCAGAATTTTGCACGAAATGGAATTCTTGTTTTCCAGCCTGTTCTAATCCAGACAGAGCACCGTTGGCTTTTCCTTGTGCTCCTCCGTCTGTCTGTATCCATCTGTTGTCTCTTGTCTTATACTTAGATAATCCGTGTCCCAAAAGGCTTAGAATCTGTGTTCTGTGTTTGTACTGTGCCTAACAAAATGAGCACCTAAGTGCTATGATAATACAAATAATAATTGCCGTTTATCAATGCTTTTTTCATAACAGAGCAAAATGTGAAACAATTTCAAATCCCTTAGCACTAGAAGCTGCTGATAAAAGGATAGAGGAATTTCTACAAACTATAAATGTACATCCATCTTTACCTTTAAAGAACATAGTTGATGAACCAGTCTGTCTACTTTCAAAAAAAGGTGATTATATTTTATTTTATAAATATAATATATTTTGTGCTACTTAATATTACCACAAGGTATTTATGAACATTAAACTATAATTTGTTTATTGAAACAAGCAATGAATAATAGATGTTTTGAAAATTAGAAATATACCCTTTTCCAGCCTCTTAGAAAGAGTACTGGCACATCTTGCAGAAATATCATTTCCTGGCATTATTATTTGAATTTTGTGTATCTTGCTACTTTTGTAGTTGA